AAGCTGGAATCAAGATTGCTGGAAGAAATATGAATAACCTCAGATATGCAGATGACATCACCCTTATGGCAGAAAGTGAAGAAGAACTAAAGAGCCTCTTGATGAAAGTGAAAGAGGAGACTGAAAAAGTTGGCTTAAAGCTCAACTTTCAGAAAACTAAGATCATGGCATCCGGTCCCATCACTTCATGGCAGATAGATGGGGAAACAGTGGAAACAGTGGCTGACTTTATTTTTCTGGGCTCCAAAATCACTGCAGATGGTGATTGCAGCCATTAAATTAAAAGACGCTTGCTCCTTGGAAGGAAAGTTATGACCAACCTAGACAGCATATTAAAAAGCAGAGACATTACTTTGCCAAAAATGATCTGTCTAGTCAAAGCTATGGTTTTTCCACTAGTCATGTATGGATGTTAGAGTTGGACTATAAAGCTGAGCACCAAAGAATTGATGCTTTTGAACTGTGGTGTTGGAGAAGACTCTTTAGAATCCCTTAGACTGCAAGGAGATCCAACCAGTCCATCCTAAAGGAGATCAGTCCTGAGTGTTCATTGGAAGGACTGATGTTGAAGCTGAAACTCCAATACTTTGGCCACCTGATGCAAAGAGCTGACTCATTTGAAAAGACCCTGATGCTGGGAAAGATTGAGGGCAGGAGAAGGGGACAACAGAGGATGAGATGGTTGGATGGCATCACCAACTCAATGGACATGGGTTTGGGTGGACTTTGGGAGTTGGTGATGGACAGGGAGGCCTGGCGTGCTGCGGTTCATGGGGTCACAAAGAGTCAGACACGACTGAGTGACTGAACTGACTGAACTTTACTCTGTCTATTATGCCTCTTAAGTGGATTAAGGTGCATAGTTCCTTCTGTGAGCAGAAAGTTCTGCAGAGAGAGAGGAACAAAACAGACATGACTCCTAAATTTTTATCTCTACTTGGACCTCTCCTCTGAACTCCAGGCTTACATAGACAACTGTCTATTTAACATCCTGACTTAAATGTCCAAAAGTATTTCTAATATAACATGCTGCTGCTTCTAAATCACTTCAGTCGTGTCCGACTCTGTGCAACCCCATAGACGGCAGCCCACCAGGCTCCCCCATCCCTGGGATTCTCCAGGCAAGAACACTGGAGTGGGTTGCCATTTCCTTCTCCAATGCATGAAAGTGAAAAGTGAAAGTGTGTTCGCTCAGTCGTGTCCGACTCTTCACGACCCCATGGACTGCAGCCTACCAGGCTCCTCCATCCATGGGATTTTCCAGGAAAGAGTACTGGAGTGGGTTGCCATTGCCTTCTCCAAATATAACATGTCTAAGCCTTAAACTCTAATCTTCCTTTCCAAAGTTTCTCCACCTGTTATTCCCCATTTTATTTAATGTAACTATATACTTTGTGTATCACACACATGAAAAGCTGAGTTATATTTTACCTCTCTCTTTTATCTTATATCCATTGTTATCAGCAAATCCTATTGAATTTCTCTTTAAAACATATTCAGTCAGATCACATTTCACCATCTTTACTATTTATATTCCTGGTTCAAGCTCCCATCATCCCTTATGTGGGTTATGGCCATGGTCCCCCAACAAGTGTTCTTACTTCCATCTTTCACCCTCTACAGTCTATTCTCATAAAAGCAGCCAGAATGATTCTTTTAAAATGCAAAATCCTGCAATTTCTCTAATCAAAACCTTGTGACATTTCCCTAGTGTGTTCATTTAAGAGGTCTAAGTCACATCAACTACCTAGAAAAACACCATTAGTACTTGCAAACCAAAAGCCTTAATTAAGATAACCAGGTGCTCTGATGGCCTCACCTGAGCCTAGTAGAACTTGGTTTTCACTGGCTTTTACTCTTTAAAGTGATTTTAGGCATATCTTCAAACTCATCAAATTCTGTTTGTGCTTCTGTAAAATGAAAAAAAGATAAAGAAGGGACTGGCATCTGCTCTCCTACTTTCAAAATATTCTTTTGAGGATAAAAATTGGGGATATATGCAAGAGTACTGCACATATATAAACGATTATCACTGGAAAGCAACACAGACCTTGAACTTTGGTATTCAAATAATAGAAGGAATATAGCATCTAAAGAATGCAGCTTTGGGACTTCCCTGGTGGTCTAGTGGTTAAGACTCTGTGCGTGTACTGCAAGGGTCATGGATTCAATCCCTAGTTAGGGAACTAAAATCCCACATACCATGTGGTGTGGACCAAAAGAATTGCAGCTGTCAAGCATTGTGTTTTAGAAAGCATATGGATTTAGATTTCATCTTTATTAAAACTATTCAAAACATAAGTGAATTTGATGGGAAATCTGAAAGGTGGTTACAGTAAAGGTTGGGGTGTAACCAGATCGACATGCTTAGAAAATAATGTGCAAAACAAGTGCCAATTTGTTACTTTCATATAAAAATACTGAATAAAAATACATACTAGAGTCTCCAAACCACTGTATTTTTGCCATGGACAGGCTGAAAGGAAAGATGACAATCAGAAGGGAGTTTTCTCTTTCTAATTAGAAACAAAATATGTAAAAAGTTAATGTACAGATTTTCATATGCTTTGTATACTTTCTTCAAATGACTGAATTTGGGAGAACAGTAAGCTATAATTCTGTCCCCACTTTTGAGTTTTGATTCAGTAAGAACTATTCACAGATGTTAAACAGATACAAACATCATAAACAACGCAATAAGAAGATAAAAAGATAGTTGACATAGCCATCAATTCCTATTTTCCTAATAAGACCACAAGGAAAAAGAATACTAGAACACATAAAATAAGGTAGGCATTAACTTAAACTTTTGTCATTGACTCTTTTCCCATACCTATTCACTTCACAGCTCTGTGTCTCTGCATCTAGAGATTATCACTTTGTAATGAGACAGCATGACTGACAGCCAGTGCCTCCTCCTGCATAGAGCTGAATTATATTGTGTTCTTTTATAAGACAGTATCAGTAGAGATTCATCTTTTCTTCAGTAACTCAGAAAATCCTGCCTTTCCTATTGATCCAATGCTAATGAAGAAGGAGTTTTGAAGAGTTTTCTCTTCAGGGAAGAATTTGGGAATCAGTCCTGGAATGCATCTAGGCTCCCTACTGGACTTGGAAAACCCAGCAATGCTCTCTCTTCACATCCTTAGAGGAAATGGTCTGAGTCAGAAGTATGGCAGTTAGTAATTAAAATGCAACCAAACAGGGACTCTAGCCCTGAGGGGATTGTAGATGACTGAGTAGGGTCATCTTCTGTGACACAGGGAAGAGGCTGACACATTTATATCTGGCACCTTATTCTTAGTCCCCAGAAACCTTGATTTTCTCATTCTAATTTGGGGGGGTTATTTTTTCAGTCTCCACTTGCCATGACATCATGGATCACTAAGAGGAAAGAGTCAAGTGAATGTGCCTAATTGGAATTGAGCACTTGTGGAAGGCAGAGTGAAAGAGTCTTGAGAAGCAAGCAGCTTCTTGGTAAAGGACCAGCCTCACATGGCAGAGAATATTTGTCCTGTCAGTAACAGGCAGCAACTAAAAGTTTCAAGTCATATCTCATATTTCATTAAAAGAGAAAAAAATAAACACTTTAATGAATATGGAAGGTGAACTGGCTTCATGATAGAGACAGTGGACAGAGCAACCCAATGAGGAAGCTGGAGCACTAATTCAGACTGGAAATAAGGAAGATCTGAACTAGGACAAGCAAGTGAGGACTTGAGATAAGGGGAGATAATTGAGAAATATTTAACTAGATTTTATGTTACAGGTTGGAAAGACATATATTGTTGTTGTGTCAAATAATAGAATTTAGAATATTTCTTGCTCTAGGGCTAAAGGCCAAACTTCTAGTTAAAGTCCTCCTTCTGGCATTTTAGAACTAATTTAGCATCTAAGTCTAACATTTTCTCCTCCTCACCTCCACATGTATAGTTTCCCAATACAGTAGTTTCAATGTGGGAAAATTAATGGAGACTTGCTATCTACTCTCCAGGGATGTTAAGCTTGGTTAATGAATCATCTGATGAGAACCTGTCCTAATTTTTTTAGGGCTTTCCAGCTCTCCAGGGTTGTACACTTTCCACTGACTTTCCTGTCTTGCATAAATTGATGATCCTGATTAAGTATCTGGACTTGAAGAACAGACCTTAAAGATTCTTAATTCAAAACTCTGAAATTCCCTGCAACTCTATAATCCCAGTCTTTGAAATCAGAACCAATCTTGGGCATTTAAGACTCTACCAGAAAATTACTACAGCTAATCAATGAATACAGTAATGTCACAGGATATAAAATTAACACACAGAAATCCCTTGCATTCCTGTACACTAACAATGAGAAAACAGAAAGAGAAATTAAGGAAACAATACCATTCACCACTGCAACAAAAAGAATAAAATACTTAGGAGAATATCTACCTAAAGAAACAAAAGACCTATACGTAGAAAACTATAAAACACTGATGAAAGAAATCAAAGAGGGGGCGGGGATCTCCTGGCGTGAGAAGACGGCCAGGAGGACTTTCCCCAAACCCACCCGGGCCACCGGGCGTCTCGCTGGAGGGGTGGCGGGGTGGGGGGTGGATGCGGGAGTCCCGCGGCGTCCCTGGCAGGTGGGAGTTGGTGGATTCTGAGCAAAGACCTGGAGCAGCTCTGGCACCGGAGTACCTGTCCCTGCTCTTTGCTGTCACTGTTATTGGGATCACTGTGCTCCTCTTGCCCTGAAGAGCAAGAACGTGGTGAAGAGTCGTCACATCACCTTACAGAACTCTGATACCAAGTACCCGCTGCCTTTGATTGAGAAAGAGCAAATCAGCCACAACACTCGGAGGTTTCGGTTTGGACTGCCCTCCCTGGACCATGCCTTAGGGCTTCCTGTAGGTAACTATGTTCATCTCTTGGCCAAAATTGACGGTGTTGTGGTGGTCAGGGCTTACACGCCTGTGTACAGTGATGATGACCTAGGCTTTGTGGACTTAATCATCAAGATCTACTTCAAAAATGTACATCCTAATCAACCAGAAGAGGGGGAAGATGACTCAGTACTTGGAGAACATGAAAATTGGGGACACCATCCTTTTTCAAGGGCCATCTGGTTACCTGTTCTATCATGGGTCAGGGAAGTCTGTATTCAAACCATACAAAACGAGTGAGCCTGAAACTAAACTGGTGCATCACCTGGGAATGATTGCTGGGGGCACAGGGATCATGCCCATGCTGCAGCTCATCCGCTGCATCACCAGGAAGCCCAGTGATAAGACCGTGATGTCCCTCATCTTTGCCAACCAGACAGAGGAGGATATCTTGATGAGAAGAGAGCTTGAAGAAGTTGCCAGAACTCATCCAACGCAGTTCGGCCTGTGGTACACACTGGACAGGCCTCCTGCTGACTGGAAGTACAGCTCCGGCTTCATTACCGAGGACATGATCAAGGAGCACCTCCCTCCCCCTGGGAAGTCCATGCTCATCCTGGTGTGTGGCCCACCACCCCTGATCCAGACAGCAGCACACCCTAACCTGAAGAAACTGGGTTATACCAAGAACATGATTTTCACCTAATAAAGCCTCTCTTGCTCTTTCCAAATTTGCCTGGTCGTGTTCATGGTTCACAGTGAGCTCAGCTTCACCACATTAAACTGGGAAGTATCCAAAGACCCTTCTCATGTACCCTTGGGTACACTGGCACCCCTCTCTTTTGGTGTGGGCCTAAGAAAAAGTTCTAGAGGCAGGAGGTAAAGGGGCTTCTGGAGCCTCCTTGCCTGGTGAGGTTTGAAGGGACTCTCTTTCAGTATCTTTTCCCATAGTTTAGTGAGATAAAATTCAGTGCAAGGCAGATAGCCCATGAGTGTGGGTCTGAGGGTGACCCGCTAGACAGGTAGAAGGCCTTGGCTTGCTCCACATGTGAACTGGCATCTTATGTCCTTGGGAGGTCAGAAATGTCGAAGATGCTGGGGCAGAACTCCAGGAGAATCCAAGTGGGGTCATGTCAACTTCTGATAATTTCTCTTGACCCCCTTCTTTCTAGAGTGTGGTTTCTAAGGTCAGACCCATTGGAGTGTTCAGGCACTCTCCATGTGCACTCTTCCTTCTCTTGTAGGAGACTCTTGAAATGTGAATGGTGTTAAAAATACACATCAGGGCAGTAGTCAAGGTGGGCCCCAGGAATCCTAGATTCGTTGTACTTGGCCAAAGGGAGGTAAGAGGTGTGTCTTTGTTAGCATCCTCTAAATGCCAACTCCTATTCTGAAGTGGTGGGTGAGTTAGGGGTGGTTATTACAAATCCCTGTATATTAACTTTGTATCCTGCAACTTTACTGAATTCATTGATGACCCCAAGTAACTTTCTGGTCATGCCTTTATTGCTTTCTATATATAGTCATCTGCAACAGTGACTTTTACTTCTTTTTCAATCTGGATCCCTTTTCTTTCCTTTTTCTTTGATTGCTGCAGCTGGGACTTCCAAGACAGTTGGATAAAAGAGGTGAGAATGGATCTCTTTGTTTTGTTCCTGATCCTAGAGGGAATGCTGTCAGCTTTTCACTGTTGAGTATGATGTTAGCTGTACCTAGCCATGAAAAGCTATGTATAGCCTTTATTATGTTGATGTATATTCCTTCTATGCCCACTTTCTGGAGAATTGTTATCAAATGGATGTTCAATTTTATCAAAAGCTTTTTGTGCATCTAAAAAAAAAAAAAAAGAAATCAAAGAGGACACAAACAGATGGAGAAATATACTGTGTTCATGGATTGGAAGAATCAATATTGTCAAAATGGCTATACTACCCAAAGCAATCTATAGATTCAATGCAATCCCTATCAAGCTACCAATGGTATTTTTCACAGAACTAGAACAAATAATTTCACAATTTGTATGGAAATACAAAAAACCTCAAATAGCCAAAGCAATCTTGAGAAAGAAGAATGGAACTGGAGGAATCAACCTGCCTGACTGCAGACACTATTACAAAGACACAGTCATCAAGACTGTATGGTACTGTCACAAAGACAGAAATATAGATCAATGGAACAGAATAGAAAGCCCAGAGATAAATCCACGAACCCATGGACACCTTATCTTCGACAAAGGAGGCAAGGATATACAATGGAAAAAAGACAAGCTCTTTAACAAGTGGTGCTGGGAAAACTGGTCAACCACCTGTAAAAGAATGAAACTAGAACACTTTCTAACACCATACACAAAAATAAACTCAAAATGGATTAAAGATCTAAATGTAAGACCAAAAAATATAAAACTCCTAGAGGAGAACATAGGCAAAACACTCTCTGACATGAATCTCAGCAGGATCCTCTATGACCCACCTCCCAGAATATTGGAAATAAAAGCAAAAATAAACAAATGGGACCTAATGAAACTTAAAAGCTTTTGAACAACAAAGGAAACTATAAGCAAGGTGAAAAGACAACCCTCAGAATGGGAGAAAATAATAGCAAATGAAGCAACAGACAAAGGATTAATCTCAAAAATATACAAGCAACTCCTCCAGCTCAACTCCAGAAAAATAAATGACCCAATCAAAAAATGGGCCAAAGAACAAAACAGACATTTCTCCAAAGAAGACATACAGATGGCTAACAAACACATGAAAAGATGCTCAACATCACTCATTATCAGAGAAATGCAGATCAAAACCACAATGAGGTACCATTACATATCAGTCAGGATGGCTGCTATCCAAAAGTCTACAAGCAATAAATGCTGGAGAGGGTGTGGAGAAAAGGGAACCCTCTTACACTGTTGGTGGGAATGCAAACTAGTACAGCCACTATGGAGAACAGTGTGGAGATTCCTTTAAAAACTGTAAATAGAACTGCCATATGACCCAGCAATCCCACTTCTGGGCATACAGACCGAGGAAACTAAATCTGAAAGAGACACGTGCACCCCAATGTTCATCGCAGCACTGTTTATAATTGCCAGGACATGGAAGCAACCTAGATGCCCATCAGCAGATGAATGGATAAGGAAGCTGTGGTACATATACACCATGGAATATTACTCAGCCATTAAAAAGAATTCATTTGAATCAGTTCTAATGAGATGGATGAAACTGGAGCCCATTATACAGAGTGAAGTAAGCCAGAAAGATAAAGACCAATACAGTATACTAACACATATATATGGTATTTAGAAAGATGGTAACAATAACCCTATATGCAAAACAGAAAAAGAGACACAGATGTACAGAACAGACTTTTAGACTCTGTGGGAGAAGGCGAGGGTGGGATGTTCTGAGAGAATAGCATTGAAACAAGTATACTATCAGGGGTGAAACAGATCACCAGCCCAGGTTGGATGCATGAGACAAGTGCTCAGGGCTGGTGCACTGGGAAGACCCAGAGGGATGGGATGGGGAGGGAGGCAGGAGGGGGGATCGGGATGGGGAATACATGTAAATCCATGGCTGATTTATGTCAATGTATGGCAAAAACCACTACAATACTGTAAAGTAATTAGTTTTCAACTAATAAAAATAAATGAAAAAATAAAATAAAATTAATTTTTTTTTAAAAGATGTCTGAAGCTACCTTAAGTTTTCCCTTTTTCCTACTTAAGATTTCATTCTAACTCTTTGTCACCATTTTTGCCTGGGTAGTTGCTTCAGATTCTTTATAGATTTAGTCTTTATTCTCTTGAGATGTACCGCATGGATAGGAAATTGATTAAGGATACTAATGCCCTTTTACACTAATCCATTTTTAACTTAGAGGATACATACAATAGGGGTTCTAAATGTTGATTATGTATCAGAGTCATTGTAGAATTTTTAAAAAAGGAGAAAGGAAACCAAAGAAAATGAGAAGTCAAACAATATGTACACAAATAGATTAATTCTTTGATAGTCTGTTCCCATTGGTCTAGATGACAACTCTGTTCAGTTCAATCACTCAGTCGTGTCCAGCTCTTTGTGACCCCATGAATCGCAGCACACCAGGCCTCCCTGTCCATCACCAACTCCCGGAGTTTACTCAAACTCATGTCCATCAAGTCGGTGATGCCATCCAGCCATCTCATCCTCTGTCGTCCCCTGCTCCTCCTGCCCCCAATCCCTCCCAGCATCAGGGTCTTTTCCAATGAGTCAACTCTTCACATGAGGTGGCCAAAGTATTGGAGTTTCAGCTTCAGCATCAATCCTTCCAATGAACACCCAGGACTGATCTCCTTTAGGATGACAACTAAGTATCCCTAATTTTATCAAAAGCTCCCTAAATATTTTTGATGAGGTATCAAGGTTGAAAAAAATTTAACAGTTCACATAATACAACTTCTTACTTTGAAATGGGAACATAGGACCAAACTAAGAGGAATCTTACAGTTAGAGGAACAGTAGAGCACAGAACTTCTCTCTCATATGTTGTCTGTTTTTAGCAAATTCTTTATCCTCATTACTTGACTCAAATTGGTAAGAGTATGTATCTCAATATGATGCTTAACTCATGAGCTCTTTTATTCTGGTGGGTCAGTAAGCATTGGAACTTATTGCTCAGTCAGATTCAATGACAATAATTCAATAAAACCTTCATAAATAACAAACCTGATTTTAGTCAAAATAGCAACAACTATTTATGTAATCAGTTAAATATCAGTTATGTAATCAGTTAAATATGAAGCTGCAGGCTTTAGAAGCAACCTAATAAATATCATAACATGGACTCAAGTATTCAACTGTCAGTCTAACCCATAATTCCTATTTGTTGTCTTTTAGGAGCTTGAGCTTATAATAAATGCATATTAAGCATTACTCCAACTTGTTTGAAACATGTTATATCATTTATGATTGTGAACCTATGCTCACAAGAATCTGTTTGCAGTCAGTTATTCTAGCTTGAGTTTCTTGGGAGATTATAGTAATAAAACTGATTGTGGGCTTATATTCAGAGATGCTATGGTTTTTCTTTTATTCCTGGGCTTGAGTTTATGGATTACTTACCATAACATCCCAAACAAATATTATATTTTATTCTCTTGTATTCAAAGCCATTTTTTAAACCTTTTTGGCTTTGTGCAATAATTTGTCCTTGTTAATGAAAAGAGCACAACTCAGCTGACAAACCCCACACATGCCATATTGTGCTTCAGATGAGTGCCCTTAGATGCCCTAACCTAACCTTACCAGTTAATAAATCTGCACGATAGTATCTTTTGTCATATGTGTTGGCAGAGGTGTCATGTCTCAAAATGGGCATCAGTCTACGATTTTCTGTAAGGCATGGCCCAATGGGACCAGACTATCCTCTACTAAATGTTGTCAAAATGGGATTTCTTGTTCTGTATGACCAATTTCTCAAGGTATTTTGGAGACTCTTAATAAGCTACTAAAGGCTGTTTAAAGAAGAAGAAGATTTTAAGATATCTAGAAAAGATCCTAACTTCAGCATAAATGTTTACCCTCCCACACAAGCTCCTTTCCATTACGGGACTGAAATATATATGAATATATGAATATATATTACTGTGGATAGATGGATAGATAGACAGATAAGACATGAATACATACACACATATAATCTGTTGACTTGATGGGCTTCCCCAGTGAT